TTTTTTTTTTTTCTTCCCCCCAACATGGGGTCAAATGGTACCTAAGTATATGATTACGAATGGAAAAAAGGGTCAGAAATCAGGTACTGGCATTTTTTTCATTTTCATTTGTGTGATTTTTTAATATAAATGTGAGGATATAAAGCATTGTTGCTGTTGTTGGTATGTGCTGTGAAGTTGGTCCCAACTCATAGTGACCCTGTACAGGGTTTCTGAGGCTGTAAATCTTTACGGGAGCAGAAAGTCTCATCTTTCTCCTGAGGAACAGCTGGTAGTTTCGAATTGCTGACCTTGTGGTTCACAGCCTGATTTGTAACCACTACACTACCAGAGTTCCTTATATAAAGTATTAATGCAAGTCAAAATGTGTCAGTGAACAAGTTCAGCAGTTCAACTTTATAACAATTATAACTAGACCTGTTAAAATTGTTCTGGGAGGGTGGGGGAAGAAGACAAGAAAGAAGAAAAAGACTAAAATGGATGTCAGAGAGACTTTGAAACTTCCTCTCCAGCATAGAGATGTTAAAGCAAATGGAAGAAATGAGGAAGTAAAAGAGCTGAACAGAAAATTTTGAAGAGCAGTTGGAGAGGACAGAGTCAAATACTATAATGAAATGTTCAAATACCTGAATTTAGAAACTCAATAGGAAATGACATGCTCAGCATTTCTCAAGCTGAAAGAACTGAAGAAAAGAATTCAAGTCTCGACTTGTAATACTGAAGGATTCTTTGGGCAGAATATTGAATGGTACAGAAAGCATCAAAAGAAGACGGTAGGAATACACAGAGACACTATACCAAAAAGAAATGGATGATGCCCAGCCATTTCAACAGATAGCATGTGATTAAAAGCCAATGATACTGAAGGAAGAAGTCCAAGCTGCACCAAAGACACTTGCAAAAAACAAGGCCCTGGGATTTGATGGAATACAAATTGAACTTTTTCAATAAACTGATACAACACTGGAGGCACTCACTCATCTATGCCAAGAAATTTGGAAGAAAGCTATCTGGCCAACTATTAGAAAAGATCCATATTTGTGCTCATTCCAAAGAGAGGTGACCCAATGGAATGTGCATATCATCAGACAATATCAATTGCTGAAGATAATTTAAAAAATAGCTGCAACAGTACATTGATAGGAAACTGCCAGAGGTTCAAGCTGGATTCAGAAGAGGACATGGTTTTCTATTGTGTGATCATGACAAGCTATGGCCAATGTTGTGGAGAATAACTATTCCAGACAGAACACTTAACTGTGCTCATGAGGAACCTGTACATAGACAAAAAGGCAGTTATTCGAACAGGACAAGGGGACACTATTGTTGTTAAGTACCGTCGAGCCAGTTCTGGCCCATAGTAACCCTTTATAGGGTTTCTGAGGACACTGAATGGTTTAAAATCAGGAAAGATGTGTGGCAGGGTTGTATTCTTTCACCATACTTATACAATCTGTATGCTCAGAACATGACATCAGGATTGGAGGAAGACGCATTAACAACCTCCAATATACAGATGATACAACTTTGCTTCCTGAAAGTAAAAAAGACTTAAAATACTTGCTGATGAAGATCAAACACCAGTCTTCAGTATGGGTTGCACCTCAACATAAAGAAAACAAAAATTCTTACCAATGGACCAACAAATAACAAATGGAGAAAAGATTGAAGTTGTCAGACTGCATTTTGGTTGGATCCACTATCAAGACTCATGGAAGTGGTGGTGGTAGTGTGCCGTGGAGTCAGTTCCGACTCATAGCGACCCTGTAGGTCGCTGTAAATCTTTACGGGAGCAGAAAGTTTCATCTTTCTCCCGCAGAACGGCTGGTAGTTTCAAACTGCTAACCTTCAGCCCGACTCATAACCACTACACACCAGAGCTGCTAATCATGAAAGCAGCAGTCAAGAAATCAAACAACGTATTGCATTAGGCAAATCTGCTGCACATGACCTCTTTATAAAGTGTTCAAGAGCAAAGATATCATTTTGAGGACTAAAGTGCACCTGATTCAAGCCATTGTATTTTCATTAGCTTCATACGCAATGAAAGTCAGACATCGAATAAGGAAGATCACAGAAGAATTGACACATTTGAGTTTTGGTGTAGGAGAAGAATATTAAAAGTACCGTGTACTGCCAGAAGAACAAACAAATCTATGTTGGAAGAAGTACAGCCAGAATGCTCCTTAGAACAGGATGGTGAGATTTCGTCTCTCATACTTTGGATATGTTATCAAGAGGGACCAGTCCCT